GAGCGCCCCTCCCCAGCTCCTGCACGTGGCCCTCGTGTGTGCGGGACACAACTCCAGCCGGGAGGCCGCCACCCTGGTGAAGTCCATGCTCTTCTACAGGTAAAGCCGGGCGTCGGCGGTGGAGGCTCAGGGGTGAGAAAGGGGCCAGGCACCTCGCGGGGCCTCAGGGTCTCGGCCTCCTCCTCTGCGACATGGCGGGGGGGGCCGTCCTCCCCGAAGGGTGATTGGGAGATTGTCTTTGCCAGGGTGTGCTGGCTCACGCCGGTAATCCCAGCACTTGGGAATGCCGAGGTGGGCGGATCGCTTGAGCCAAGGAGTTCAAGACTAGCCTGGGCAACATAGGGAGGCCTCGTCTCTACAAAAAATAAAGAAGTTAGCCAGGCGTGGTGGCTCATCACCTGTAATCCCACTTTGGGAGGCCGAGGCGGAGGATCCCTTGAGCCCAGGAGGTCAAGGCTGTGGTGAGCTGTGAGCCGTGATCATGCCGCTACACTCCAGCCTAGGCGACAGAGTGAGACTGTGAGACACAGACACACACACACACACACACACACACACACACACGGTGTTCTGAGACGGCAGGGGAGAGCTCTTTGCAGATGGTGTTTCCACTGCCCAGCCCCCGAGGTAGAGGGCTATCCCGTGTTCCTGCTAGGCCCTCTCAGGCTTCCTCTCTGCCCACCTAAAAGGAAAAATCCGTTGCACCTCCACCTGGTGACTGACACTGTGGCCAGAAACATCCTGGAGATGCTCTTCCACACATGGATGGTGCCCGCTGTCCATGTCAGCTTTTATGATGCCGATAAGCTCAAGGCAGGAGCCCCAACCCTACCTTGCCCCTGCCTGGCTGTGCCCCTCCCTCTCATTCCTCCCAGGACGGCAGGGTGGGGGAGGAAAACTCCCATTCCCATCACACCTGCTGCAGCTCAGACTCCTTGCTCTTCTGGGGGTTCACCCCTTATCCCCACGGTGTCACTGCGTATACGTTCTGGCACTCATAGTCCCCCCAGCCAGCTCATGCCCTGCCCTTCCACCTGCAGCCCCAGGTGTCCTGGATCCCCAACACACACTACTCTGGCCTCTATGGGCTGATGAAGCTAGTGCTGCCCGGCGTCCTGCCTCCCAGCCTGGCCCGAGTCATTGTGCTGGACACAGATGTCACCTTTGCCTCCGACATCGCAGAGCTCTGGGCACTCTTTGCTCACTTTTCTGGTGAGAGGCCTGGGACTCTGCCCTGGCCAGCCCCACTCTCCGGCCTGCCCCAGGATCCCCCGTGCCTATTAGCCCTGAGCCCTGGTCCTATGGCAGCTTCCTCGTGCCCTTTCCTCACAGACGAGCAGGTGGTCGGTCTCGTGGAAAACCAGAGCGACTGGTACCTGGGCAACCTCTGGAAGAATCACAGGCCCTGGCCTGCATTGGGCCGGGGTTTCAATACAGGTGGGGACTGTTGTAGGGGGAGGTGGGGAGTGTGGGCCGCTGGTCCTCGGGCCTCAGGAGCTGGGCAGGCAGGGAATGCTAAGAGGCCTCCCCAGGAAGAGTAGTGCTACAGAAAGAGCACTAGTCAAAGAGCAGAAAACAATTCCAACCTTGGCTGTATGTGCCGGATGACTTTGGCTAAAACTCACTTGGTCCCTCTGAGCCTCAGTTTTCTCATCCATTAAATGGGCACGATTTTCACAGCCCTAGGATCACCAAGTGTGAGAAGGCCGCGGAGCGGCTCTGGGGGCTGGGTGGCATAGAGCACCTCCTGGTCACCAAGAGGACTGCTGACAGGAGTAATGCCAAGATCATGTCTGAACAGCCAGCAAATATCAATAAGTAAAAAAACGAAGCATTCAAAGCCGCCTTTGTGACTGTGGTCCCAGGAGCTGGCAGCCCCCGGTGGGCATGACGACCTCTCTCCGCTGGCAGGTGTGATCTTGCTGCAGCTGGACCGGCTCCGGCAGGCGGGCTGGGAGCAGATGTGGAGACTGACGGCCAGGCGGGAGCTCCTCACCCTGCCGGCCACCTCGCTGGCGGACCAGGTCCGGGGACATCTTGGCAGGGATGTGGGGGAGGGACACAGTTTGCAGGCTAGAGGCTGAGGTGTGATGGCTCTCTGTGCCCAGGACATCTTCAACGCTGTGATCAAGGAGCGCCCGGCCCTGGTGCAGCCCCTGCCCTGTGTCTGGAACGTGCAGCTGTCGGACCACACGCTGGCCGAGCGCTGCTACGCCGAGGCATCTGACCTCAAGGTGAGCAGGACGGGAGGCCGCCTGGTGGCGGCGGGCCAAGAACGGGAACTCCTGCTCCCTGCTCCCACAGGTTGACATGGTCCCGGGTCCCAGGTGATCCACTGGAACTCGCCAAAGAAGCTGCGAGTGAAGAACAAGCATGCAGATTTCTTCCGCAATGTCCACCTGACCTTCCTGGAGTACGACGGGAACCTGCTGCGGAGAGAGCTCTTCGGCTGCCCCAGCCAGCCCCCACCTGGGGCCGAGCGGGTGAGGGGGAGCTGCTTTCCCTTGCCTGGGGGTGTCCTGCCACTCCCTGCGCTGGTGGGACCCAGCCTCTTCTCAGGGACTTGTCGCCCGGCCTCAGCCCTGGCCCTGCCCCCTCCATCGCAGCGGGCCCTGGCACAGCTTGACAAAGAGGATGCCTGCTTCGAGTTCCGGCAGCAGCAGCTCACTAGGCACCGTGTGCACATCACCTTCCTGCCCCACAAGCCGCCACCCCCCCGGCCCCATGACGTCACGCTGGTGGCCCAGCTGTCCATGGACCGGTGAGGGTCAGCCCTAGGGAGGATGGCATGGGCTGGGACAGGACGTTTCTGAAAGGAGGTTTCATCTGGTAGCCCGGTGCTGTGGTAGTGAGCTGCCTGTCCCTTGAGGCATTCCAGAAGTCGGAGACATCGGCTGTGGTGGAAAGCACTTGGGCATGGGAGTCCTTCAGATGCGTGGGACCATGGGCAAGTCTTAGCATCTCTGGCCCTTCGTTTTCTCATCTGAGTTGTCTCACGAGACAGTATCCACCTGGGGAGGTCATTGTGAAGGTTCATCAGATCAGCTCAAAACGTGCTTGGGATGTGTGTTGTCACTTGGGGGGCTGTCGGCAGCAGCTTACTTTGAGGGGGTTTTTTCCAGTCCTTGCTGGACGCCCGTGTTCAAAAGGGGCCAAGTGGGGCTGACCTCTTTCTCCCCCAG